GGTAGCATAGGACAGAGCTGGAGCCTGTGTCAAGAGGGAATGGGAGTTGGAGCCCATATGACAGGTCACGCTGCCACTCATCAGCCTACCACCTCATTCAAGGAAGGGATTCCACCCTATGCCACCCAGTTTTGATTACTGCCTTCCCTTTGGCGCTCAGCTCCCACAGCCAATCTGATTGGCCCCTGGCCATGGGCAGTTCAGGGTGCATCTCTGCCAATAGAGGGGCAGTAACTCCTTCCCAACTGGCATGACAGATGGGCAGCCAAGCCAAACCACAGTGGCATTGCAACCTGGCTCATGGGCTCTTGCTCCTAATCCCAAGCTCTACCACAGGGGAGTAGAGCAAAGGCAAAGACTGTGAATGTCAGAGAAAATACATTAAGATGTTTCTATTGTTGAAGTTTTCATTTATTAATCCCCTAGTCTTCTGCATACTAAAAAAGGGTTTGTGAAAGATGTACGTTTAAACTGTTTCCTTCCACCCCCATTTAAAGGCTGTGCTGCAAGGGTCTTTTATAAACACTTTGTTTTTTACACAGTTAACTGTATGTGAACATGCTGTATTATAAAAAAAATCTGAGTTATGCAATTGTAAACTATGCCTACCCGGTGTGGCACTCTGTCCCCCTCTCGTGGTGATTAGGCCGATAGGGATTGATGACTCTGTTGCAGCCTTGGCTAAGATATCTGGGTCTTTTAACTGAGATAGTGGAGGCTGATGAATTAAGCTCCAGATCGCCCAGGTTCGATCCACACTACCTACAACCCACAAAGGGGCATTGGCCTAACACTATGTAGCTCCTAAAAAACGTACAGCCCACTAAAGGTTTTCAGTGGCCCATCTCTGAGCTAGACGCAGAAAAGACTCCATGGTACTCAGAGTCATACAGAGACACAGAACACTCCACTGTAGCATCAGAAGGGGGGAGTTTCTATTACAGACACTGCATTCTTCTTTTTCCCCAAATAAATTCATAGGATGGCTGCATTTAACAAACTTTAATCACCCCATTTGTTCAATCCAGTTTAAGGATTTAATGGAAAATAATTCAAGGCGAGTAGTGTGCCCTTTGTTAAAAGCTTCACTTTAAGTTAAGCGAAGCGCAGCCCACCATAGTTTGAGCCGTGGCTTTATACCTAAAACACTGGTGATAAAAAAGAAAAAAAGACAGAAACAACAATGCAGCAAATTCACCTTTCAGTCATGCTGGGAACTGAAAGTCTAGAAACTTTTGTTATCCATACTGTGCACAGTTTGCAAAGGTCAAACCACCATTCACAGTAAAACAATTTTAAATTATGCCTCAATTCATTTTTCAATAAATTGCAAGTCTGTACCACAGATAACACCTAACATCAATGCTGGTAAAGGAGAAGGCCCTGGACATATATTCAGAAGACATACCAGTGAAGTGAATTGTGCTGCCACCCCTCACCCCAAAAACTGTCCAATGAAGTTAGACTGCCAGTGTGATCACATGGGGATAGATACAGCTGATCCCAATAGGAGATTCCAGCTGAATGATCTATGTTAGTGGTTCCTAATCTGGAAGTTCTTACATATGTTAAAGATCATGATTTTTTGAAGACAGGAACATTTCTCTCACCTTCCCCAATTCTTTCAGCCAATGGAATTTGCCCAAGTGTTTAAAAAAAAAAATCACCCATGGGAAGAGAAAAAAAGCAGGGGACATTTCAGCTATAGAATGCAAATGCGAGTACATGAGAACAGGAGGTTATAATGAAAACTGCTTTGTAACATCAACTGTAGAGGTTGTGACAGAATAGATGGATGTTCGTCAGTTCCTCTTTTCTTTCCAACCTTAAGTTTCATATTTCTTTGCAAGGACCTCCCACCCACACTAATATCTCCAGTAGTATTTATTGAGTCTCTTCTTCAGTTGCTACTACTTTAGCTTGTTTTTGCAGATAAGGTGACCCAAAACAAACAATATTCAAGCTAAGGATGTACAACAGTTTGTGTCATGGTATTAGACTAGTTTCTCATTATTCTCTATTCCTTTAAGTTTTTAGTTTTTTGGGCCACTAGTGCCCATTGCAAAGGTACCTTCATTGAACAGTTTACATGATATCCAGGTCTGTTTCCTGGACAGTTATGACTAATTCAGACATCATTAGCATGTATGACAAATTTAAAGCATTCCTTCCAACATATATTGTCCGTTGAATTTCAACATGTTGCCCTGTTGAGAATAAGTTAGTTGGTCACATGTGATGGGGGAAAAACAAGACCAATGAAAGCCAAAGAAGGAGAGACCTTGGAGGAGTGTGGTTGAAGAGCCAAGTACAATTTACTCTATAGCAATCACTTAATATTGGAAGGAGTTTGAGGATGAGACAGCCTGGATGGTACATTCAATTTCATGTTACACCCCCTTTTCCATTTTTAGAAAGAGGAAAAAAGTGTGAAACAGGAAACTACAGTTACTACTTAGACTAATTTCAATCCAAAGTTAAATTCTGGAGTGTGATATAAGGACAGACTGATAGAACAGTTGACAGACACAGGAGTTATAAGTGGGTATTAGCATGAATTGTATGGGTAATTATCCCTGATCCTGCTAATATTTTAAGAAAGGGGATACTGCCTATCCATCGGTGTAGGTAGTATTTACACTGAAGTGCTACAGCAATGTAGCTGCACGGTTTTAAGTGTAGACAAGCCCTCACTTAAAGGGCAGGGGGAAGGGGTAGAGAGAAGTCAGTGAACAGTCCCCAAGGCATCATTCTTACTCTCCTATGAAGCAATTTCAGTTGCCAAAATGACCACATAGAACTCTTAGTCTCACGCAGGAAGTATTTACCCCAGAATATGAATTGGGGGGAGCGGGGTGCGCGTAAGTATCTTGAGAATTATCTTCTTCCAAGTGGGAAAACTGAGGTTGAGCTGAAATGATTTTCTCCAAGGTGTCACAAGGAATCAATGGCAGAATCAGAAACAGAACCAAGGAATTCCAACTCCTAATCTCCTGCTCTGGCCACTTGATAACACTCACTCTAGAGAAATATGGCTTGCATTTACAGTAGAAACTCAGAGTTACAAACAGCAGAGGTTATGAACTGACCAGTCAACCACACACCTCATTTGGAACCAGAAATACACAATCAGGGAGCAGCAGAGAAAAAAAAAATACAGTTCAGTACTCTGTTAAATGTAAATTACTAAAAAATAAAAGGGAAAGCACCATTTTTCTTTTGCACAGTAAAGTTTCGAAGCTGTATTAAGTCAATGTTCAGTCATAAACTTTTGAAAGAAAACCACTGTGATGTTGCACTCCATATGTTTTATGGAAATATGCTTATGAGTGTGAATATGATGTAACTGGAATATACTTTATGCAAAATGTGTCTAGTAAGATATCATAACAAAGGTTATAACCTACTGAATATATTCCTCCTATTTGTATGCATGTATCATTCTTGTATCTGAAGCTAAAAATATGAAGTATAACTGAGGTCCTATTGTAATTATGCAAAGTGTGCGCCATTAACGGTTTAGAATCTTGATGGCTCCCATTGACTAGGACAATTAGTTGTAAATGGATCTGTTTACTTACAAATCTTCCTGTGTACATGTGGGCCAGCGCAGGAAGAATGGAGGTTGGGGTCTCACAGGACATGTGATCATGTCACCGGATACTGGAATCCATCTTAAATCTGGTACTTTTCCATTTAGAAGCAGGGGTGGGGACCCAGAGAGACAAAAGATTCCCGCCTTGTGCCAAAGCTACAAAAAGGGGGTGGAACAGAACAAAGGGGGCTGCCAGTCATGAGGAAGACCCTGCTTTACCACCAAGATGTTTGCTGGAACTAACAAGGACTGTACCAGGGGAAAGGATTGGGCCAAGACTAGGAAGGAGTCTAGTCTGTGAAAGCAGCTTATTGGAACATCTCTGAGGGTGAGATTTTACCTGTAAACAGTTTCTTAATGTATCAGGCTTAGACTTGCGTGTTTTTGCTTTATTTTGTTTGGTGACTTACTTTGTTCTGTCTGTTATTACTTGAAGCCACTTGAATCCTACTTTTTATACTTAATAAAAATCACTTGTTTATTAATGAACCCAGAGTAAGTGATTAATACCTAGGGGAGTACACAGCTGTGCATATCTCTCTATCAGTGTTATAGAGGGCAGACAATTTATGAGCTTACCCTGTATAAGCTTTATACAGAGTAAAATGGATTTATTTGGTGTTTGGATTCCATTGGGAACTGGGTGTCTGGGTGCTGGAAATAAGTGACCTGCTGAGCAGTTTTTGGTTAAAGTCCGCAGCTTTGAGGGCGTGGTCCAGACGTGGATCTGTGTTGCAGCAGGCTAGCGTGTCTGGCTTAACACGGCAGGGTTCTGGAGTCCCAAGCTGGCAGGGAAAACGGGCTCAGAGGTAATTTCAGCACGTCAGGTGACAGTCCCAAGGGGGTCTCTGTGACCAAACCCGTCACTACCATAACATTCTGTTCAGAGTTACGAACATTTCAGTTATGAACAACCTCCATTCCCAAGCTGTTTGTAACTGAGGTTCTACTGTATCTCCTCTATGACTGGTTGCCTCTGCAGGTGTAAAGTATAAGGGTGGACAAGCAGTCTCCCTTCTCATTATTTTGCAGCAGAGGCAGCCGTGGAAGAGTGTGTAGGCACACAACACGGTAATACATTTACTACAGGAATAAACTTTAATGCAACATCAGGATGGAAGCTGAAATCCACAAAGGTTGAGAAATTTTAAACTTGAGGTTCCTGCAACATTAACTCACATGTGCCTGTAACAGACAGCTGCGTAATGACATTAAAATAAAGTACACCTCTTACCAAAGAAGGGTTTCCTAATGCACTGCTGCTGCTTTCCCATACATTTGCAACTCCTAAAAAATATATATACTTTTCTAGCTAAAGAGAACTGCAGATCTGGATAGAGCAAGTTAAATGTCTGAAAGGAGGAAATTCACTATGAAGCCATTAGTGAATATGTACAGTACTTACATTCATCCAGCCCTAGCTGATAAGCCAGGTTCTGCAGGCCTCGAACCTTTTCCATTAGGTTTGCTGTGGTAAGGCTCCCCAGCTCTAAAAAACAAAATAAATGTGATTTTTAACACTGTCTGTTGCCCTCTAGTGGCAACTAAGCCATATTAGCTATTTAGCAAAGAGCCTTCAGGTCATATTGTTGATGTGCTCGCTCTGCCCCTTGGAGACAGCATATGTTCAGTAGTCCTCCTCACATCTGGATAACAGGGAAATAGTGCAGGCCCATAGATTCCTTATTTGGAATTCCCAGTGTGGGTGGCTAAATCTGAATGGATTACAAAACTATAGACCGGGGTTGGCAACCTTTCAGAAGTGGTGTGCCGAGTCTTCATTTATTCACTCTAATTTAAGGTTTCGCGTGCCAGTAATACATTTTAACATTTTTAGGAAGTCTCTTTCTATAAAAGTCTATAATATATAACTATTGTTGTATGTAAAGTAAATAAGGTTTTTAAAATGTTTAAGAAGCTTCATTTAAAATTAAATTAAAATGCAGAGCCCCCCGGACCGGTGGCCAGGACCGAGGCAGTGTGAGTGCCACTGAAAATCAGCTCGCGTGCCGCCTTTGGCACGCGTACCATAGGTTGCCTACCCGCTATAGACAGAGGGAAGAAACTTACTCCTGTAACCCACCCTTCTTCTAGTGCACACTTCTTCCCTACTGTTCATTTTAAAGTGCATTTTGTCTACTCTAAGTTTGACTATCGCACGCACTGAGGCAACAATTCCGCTGAAGTGGTGTTTCCATAACCTGATGTGTCTCACTGTCAGGAAATTCTCACATTTCTTGGATGTTTCCCTTCATTTCATCCCACTACTCCTTGTTGTACCACACTAAGTTCTCCAAGAAGGATGTAAACACCAGGGAAATATTTGTAGACATTCTGCTCTCTTCTCATCTTAGACACATGCCTTAACTGTACACCACTTATTAATTATGAATACTTTCACTCTTTGGTCAAATTAATTTCGCTGAGTCCCTGACTGTTTTGTTGCTCTTCTCTGAGCTCCCTAACACGTTAATACCTGTATGGCATATGGCGGCGAACACAGTATCTCAGATGTGACTGAACCAGAGCCATACAGCGAAGAATAATTCACCTTTTTGCTTTGCTATTGTTTTGCCATCATATAGTTTATTATTTTGGGAGTAAACAAGTTTGAAGCTCGAGGAAGTAACGGACACAAATTAACAAAAACTTTTTAACTCAACAACCCATGTTTTCCAATAGGAATCAAAGGCCTGTAGATTTTGTACTTTTGGAGACAGTAGTAAAATCATAGCTGTTCCATAGCACAGCCAGCATTGTACTTAAAAGGAGAGATTAGATCTGTTACGTATCGATACAACTATTTTCTGCAGAATCATTTACTTTTAGATCAAATTAATTGAGCTCTCACAAGTCAGTCTGTTAGTTTACGGATTAAAAATTACCCCTCTGACATCTCCAAAATTTCTAAAAAAAAAATTTTTTTTAAAAAATGAAACATTAGGTCAGAGGTTTGAAAAAATAAAACAAAATTAGTAACTGACTTGTACGTTGTAAACTTTAAGATACAGGCTGTATGTTAAGTTATGTGAAAACATTCGATTAACTTATTCATAACCATTATTTGCTTTGTGTTATCCATCATGTAACTAGATCAGTCATCAAATGATTGTTCCAGAATTTAAGATTTCATTTAAGAGATATTTCTAGTACTATGGTTGTGAAGAGAACATTGAAAACATGAGTCAAGGCTAATTGATTTGGTGGGTGCATCTTCACTAGGAAAAAGGTATGGATAGTTCTCTGAAAACATCCACTCAATTTGCAGCAACAGTCAAAAAAGCTAACAGAATATTAGGAACCAGTAGGAGAGGGATAGATAATAAGAAAGAAAATATAATGCCTCTATATAAATCCATAGTACCCCCACACCTTGAATATGACGAGTAGTTCTGGTTGCCCCATCTCAAAAAAGATACATTAGAATTGGAAAAGATACAGGGGAGGACAACAAAAATGATTACGAATATGGAACAACTTCCATATGAGGAGAGATTAACAAGACTGGGACTTTTCAGCACAGAAAAAAGATGACTAAGGTGGCATATGATAGAGGTCTATAAAATCATGAATGGTGTAGAGAAAGTAAATAAGGAAGTGTTATTTATTTCTTCATATAACACAAGAACCAGGAGTCACCCAATGAAATTAATAGGCAGCAGGTTTAAAACAAACAAAAGGAGGTACTTCTTCACACAATGCACAGTCAATCTGTAGAACTCTTTGCCAGGGGATGTACTGAAGGCCCAAACTATAACGGGATTTGAAAAAGAATTATGTAAGTTCATGTAGGATACGTCCATCAATGCTTATTAGCCAAGATGGTCAGGGATGCAACGTCATGCTCTGGGTGTCCCTAGCCTCTGACTGCCAGAAGCTGGGAGTGGAGGACAGGGATGGATCACTTGAAAATTGCATGTTCTGTTTATTCTCTCTGAAGCACCTGGCATAGGCTACTGTCAGAAGACAGGATACTGGGCTAGACGGATCACTGGTGTGACCCAGCATGGCCATTCTTATATTCTGAAGGTACATTAACACCACCTTTTTTCCCTAGTGAAGATATACCCCCCTATAGACTGTCTGAAACAGTAGTCCTGACAGGTGCGAACAGTCATTGAGGGCAATTAACTTTGAAATTTAAGTTGACCATTTGAATGGTCACAGAAATTAAATCACCGCTGACCATTTTAGCAGAATCAGAATGCAGCATTTTCTCTGCAGAGACTGGCAGATGATGACTAGGAAGATGCCTAGCTCATTGTGCACTCAGCTACTCTTTTCCTCAAATGTAAAAGAAACCCCAAAGAGCTAGGAAAGTTCTGCCAGCCTTGTACTAAAGAGCCAACACGCAGGAGCAAGAATCCTACATAGAAGGTACCTTTACAAAACTCACATTTTGAGTAGAAGTAGCAGCACCTACAGGGACAAATTGTGTTAGAAGTACCCAAGGGACTATGATCAGTTTGTGACTGCTCTTTAGCCTAATTCTATTAGAAGCTGTGCAACAGAACCCAAGTTGAGCACAATTAAATTGAGCCATTTTCAAAAACAGCTCCTTTTGCACTGTAGTTTGTGTCGGAGTACAGTCAAATGTTTCTTCAGCCTGAAGAAGAGATCTCCAAGGTCTAAAATTGGAAACAGTGCAGTAGAGCGGTGTTCAAAGAGCTATTTCTACAGTGCATGCGCTCATGGGGAGCTCTGTTGAACACTTCCGAAGCTACTGATGTTTTCTAGATCTGTCCATCCACAAATAGCTCCCAAATAAAGAAACTCAGTCACTGTTGTGGAAGCAGGGAAAGAAAGAGAGGGTTTAAGTGCAGCCATTTAAGTGTCAGAGACAGAGCAACTGTTCTGTCAAGTCTTAGCCTAATATTGTGAGACCTGTAGAAGCGGGGCTCACATCAGAAGCGAGTGGAAAACAGCAGAATAGTCAGTGTGACCTAGCCTTGAGACAACGATGTTTGAGAAGAGAAAGTGAGAAAATACTGGAATAGATAGCAAATAGCCTAAATAAAATGCAGATGTTTTAAATTAATGCACGTCACAAAGAGGTATAAATGCTTGTGTGATTTTGCTTGTACTTTGGAGAAACTGAGGCAGAGATGCTCTCTGTCAGCTGTGTTCTTCCCTTGCAATTGCATGTCCTGAATAAAGCTGTCTCTGATTTTATTGCTTCCAACCTGAGAGTGGAGTTCGTTTCTTCCACACTGTGTCTGAGAAAAATTCATCTGAGGGAAAGCCCTTCAATAGCCCCACTTTCATTAGCCTATTAGAATTAGTAGGATTTCTAGCCAAGGGGGGGAAAACCACAGTTGAACTTCTCCAGAAATCAAGATTTCTTGTCACTCTGTGAGTAATTGGCACAGAAAGAGATATTGGCTTGTGCTTTTTCTTTTTTTTAAGTGGGGTAAGAATGTATTTTCTCCTGTGGGTGTTTTACATTAAAAATTAATCACGTCATCACAATAGTTCATAGCCTTCCAGTTACACAATCACAGATAACAAGAAAATAAAACCTGACAAGAGAAACAAGTTCTTCTCACACTATAGAACAAGGATAAAATGGATATTTTAAAAAATGTTTGCTTAAAACATCTGGGAAGAAAACTCTGGAGGATTTAATAATTAAGAGCTGAGAGGGCTACCAACATAGATTTAGGTCACAGACAACCAGAAAAGAAAAGAAAAAAAAGTGATGTTCCTTGATATTTCTAAGAAAACAGAAATTTCTAACACCTCTTTTAAACCCAATTTATACTGCATAAGCAGCACAATAGGCACTACCTTAGGTTCTTTCCCTTTGAGGTCTCAAGTTTCTACTTACCTAGACTCCACATCGCTTGCTATCTGATAGCTCATACTTACCCTTTAACATATCAATATCATCATTTTCTAGTTCAGCCATCCATTTGGGAGGAGAATTGGTGATAGGCTGTCAGAAGACAAACAAAACGCATGCTCAATCAAGTATTTTTGTGCATTGCTGTAGGAGATGTAAAGCTACCATCTCCAGCAATAATGACACCCAGACAATAATATTAAATGGACTAAGGATTAAACCCCAGACACGGTGTAAAGAGCTATCCTCATCAGATGCTGTGTTTCTGTATTGGAGTCCTGTTTTTCCAGCATTTTTTTCCACTGCTGCTGACGCAATGCCCCCTTATCTCCCAAAGGGCAATATAGACAGTAATACTTCTGATAATAACCAAGTTCAGATCTAAAGCTTTCACTTCCAAGTTTCATATACAGTATGAAGCAGAAGATACATTTATTGTAAATTCTGAAACTCCCATAGAGGAAAAAGTTACCCTAGCAAGAAAATACAGGTGGTGATAAGTAACATGTGCACAAAGGAGTGTGTTGTCTAGGACAGTGGTTTTCAAACTTTTTTTCTGCTGACCCAGTTGAAGAAAATTGTTGATGCCCGCAACCCAACGGAGCTGGGGATGAGGGGTTTGGGGTGTGGGAGGGGCTCAGGGCTGGGACAGAGGGTTGGGCTGCAGGGGTGAGGGCTGCGGGGTGGGGCCAGGAATGAGGGGGTCAGGGTGTGGGAGGGGCAGGGGGTTGGGGTGCAGGCTCTAGGGTGGGGCCAGGGATGAGGAGTTTGGGGTGCAGGAAGGGGCTCCAGGTTTGGGGGGGCTTAGGACTGGGGAAGGGGATTGGGGCACGGGGCGTGGGCTTACCTCGGGAGGCTCCCGATCAGCAGCGCAGCGGGGGTGATAAGGCAGGTTTCCTGCCTGTCCTGGCACAGCGGACTGCACTGCGCCCTGGAAGCTGCCAGCAGCAGGTCCAGCTCCTAGGTGGCGGCGAGCAAGCAGCTCTGTGCAGCTCTTGCCCACAGGCACTGCCCCCCCAGCTCTTGGGGCAGGAACAGAGTGTGGAGCCCCATGGCCCCCCCGCCTAGGAGCTGGACCTGCTGCTGGCCAATTCCGGGGCGCAGCACAGTGTCAGAACAGGTAGGAACTAGCCTGTCTTAGCTGGGCAGCACCGTCAACGGGACTTTTAACGACCCAGTTGGCAGTGCTGACCAAAGTCGCCGCGACCCAGTGCCTTACATTCCGTGACCCAGTACTGGGTTGCGACCCGCAGTTTGAAAACCACTGATCTAGGAGAGGTCTTAATAGAAACAGTGACATTAGCGAACTATATTTAAGACACCTTATGGACAAAACGTCTGTATAGGGTACAGGGATTTCCAAAAGATAGCAAAGTTGGAGAAAGAAGTGAGGGGAAATGTAAACAGGTTTCAATTAGAGGAGATCACTTACACTTTTGAAGGAAGCAGCAAATTCAGCAACACCTGGTACTGGATAGAAGGAGAGAGAAAGATAATTATTCACGACCCAAATGTCACTGCCTTCCTGTTTCCAAAGAAGCCACAACTAGCCATCATCTAAGGATACGTTTACCCTGCAGCTGTGAAGCATAATTCCCAGCTTGGGTAGGCATAAACACTTGCGTTAGCATGTTAAAAATTACAGCGTGGCCACGGAGATCACGGGCAACTTGCCTGAATACAATCCTGTCTGAGGTCCTAAGCAGATAGGTTGACAACTAGCCTGAGTTGCCGTGGCCATGCTGATATATGTTTGTATGCGACATTGAACAGAGCTACTGCACATGTGCCAATCAAACTAGGAATTACACTTCCCAGCTGCAGTGTAGTTAGGTAAAGTCCCCAGGCACACCCTGCCATAAGAAATGCCATCTCACTACATTAAATGTGAAATGTTAGTCACTTTAATTCATGCAAGAAACTGCAGCAAGTACTACAGTAGTTACAAGAATTCAAAATACTCCTTGGGAGAATACTCTTGCTGATTTGCCATGGGAGTGTCAAGAGCAGGCAGGCAGAGTTTATTGACCAGTAGTTTACACAGAGGTCCTGAGAAGTGTTCCTATCAGCCCTCGCTAATTAGATATCAACCACCTCACTAAGGAACGCAGATCATTGTAGTTTAAATTCGTTGGTGAAGAGAACACAACCTGAGAAGTATCCCCATTAGAAAGCTGCCACGAGGACATCCTGGATCTATTGGGGCTCAAGCTGGATACCTTCTCCATTAAACCGGTGTTACATTTACATGGCCAGATAAAGCCTAGAGGGTGCCACTCCCTGCACAACCAGACCATAACTCTGTGACGCACACAGGCCCCCTCCCAGGTGGGTGGTTGCAGTACAGTGATGGTCCAGGGGCCTTTCCTCTTCTCACTGGGACACTAGAGGCTGTCTCCTGTTACCTCCCACACGAGGGATCCACCCACATCACCAAGCCCTGGGGGAGAATCAGGCACGACTTACGCTGCTCCGGCCACAAGTCTGGGGATGCTCGGTCCAGCTTCTCAAAGCTCAACAGGGAGGCTTCCAGGTCGGTCCCTGGAAGGAGACAGTCAATCAGACACGGCGCACACCGCTCCCGCCTCGCAGCCGGGCATGTCACACGCAGCCTCGGCGACGCCCCGGCCGTACGGCCCCCGGGCCGTGGCGTGAGGGTGCCCTGGCAAGGCTCGACCGTGGCGCCCCGCGCAGGACACTAGTGGCATCTGTCCGGGGACGTGCCCGGAGGGCAGGGCTGCCCGTTCCTGTGTCAGGCTCCATTGCCCGGGGCGGCCCCGCGGCGAGATGGGGGCGCCTGGCAGGGCCAGTCCCCGGGACCCCCACGGTGCCGAACCGCCGGCGAGAGGGAGTGGGGGCAGCGACATTTAAAGCTCGAGATGCAGCTTAGGAACCGGGCGGGCTGGGCCGGTGCCCAGGAGACGCCGCGGCTGAGCTCTGCGCGTAGGGCAGGCGGGATGCGATAGGCGGAACCGGCTCCAGTCCCGGTGATTCAAGTTCTTACCTTCCGTGGGAGCCGCCATCTTGCCCAAGTCACGTGACGGGCAACTGCCGCCCGCGGGAACCCGTACACGTGACTCCCTCTAGCGCCGCCACGACACGCGTCGCCTGCGTTCCTCTCCCTAGGAGGCGTGTTCGGACCCGAATTTCCACCCAAGCAGGCTTCCCATGCAGGGGGCGTTTCAGTTCACGTGGCCAATCCTCGCCCTGGGACGGTGGGCGGTTCCTGTGGGGCGGGGCCAAACGAGTTCGGATCCCTATTGGCCGGGACGAGCGGCACCGTGCTGTGCGAAGGCGAGGGTGTTGTCTAAGCGGCCAATGGCAGTGCGGGGGCGGGCCCTGCTCTGTGAGGGTCTGGCAGTGGCCCCGGGGCTCAGGGACTCCCAGCGGGCAGGATGGCGGCGCTGGCAGGTCGCGGGGCCCAAGCTGGGCAGCGGTTCCTATGCAGGGTGAGGCCGGGCGCCCGCAGCCCAGCGGGGCCCGAGGGTACTGAGCAGCCCCTTCCCCGTGCCTAGGTGGGGGAGCCCTGTCGTGGCTCCGACGGGTGGGCCCGGGGCTGAGCTGCTGCGGCTGGGGGCTCGGGGCTGGTCTCTCCGGCCTCGCCTATGCCGCACAGTCCCCCGGGCTAGGGGGCCGTGTGGCCGCCGCACGTGTGTTCCCGACGGGCTCTCGGGGGTCAGCCTGGCTGCCAGCGCGGCTCGACTGAGTGCGAGACCCGGGGTCACCGCCCCCTGCTGGAGGAGGAGCAAGCCTTGCACTCGCCCCGCGAGAGAGGGGTGCCTGGTCTGGGATAGGTTTAATCCGGGGCAGACAGCGAGGGGTGGCAGCGGGACAGCTCTCAGACTCGGGGCAGCGAGGTTTCTGGCTATGACTCGTGTGTGGGAGCTGGGCTGGGCGGGCTCCCGACAGGGCTATGCACGGGGTCGGCCTTACCGCTTTAGTGCCACTGTGGACAGGGACTGACGGAAGCGGTTCTGATTGTTTCCCCGTCCTGCTGCCCCAAGGAGAGCTGCGGGACGGTACCTAGAAAACTGCGCAGTGGAAACGGTTTAGAACTGGACTAGTGTGAATGAGGGCAGTTGTGCAGCACTTTCAAATACGTCGACCTAGCAGGGCTAACTTGAACCATTGAACAGTTTGTGCTTAATCAGGTTCCTTGTCATTGATTCCATTAGCACTTGTTCAGTTCTCTGGCCTACATACAGGGAATGATGGAGACCCCTCCCATGGCATATTAACTTGCAGCCATTGGTGACTGTCCCCTGCATTGCTCCATCAGGATACAGTTGACCAGGGCCGGCTCTGGCTTTTTTGCCACCCCAGGCAAAAAAGCTTCCCCCAGCCCCCGGCGGGGAGCGCGGCAGGGGAGGGCGCCGAGCCTGGCCTCAGCCCCGCTCTCCCCGGCCGGACGGAGCGCCAGGGGGAGGGCGGGGAGCCTGGCCGGGGCCCTGCTCTCCCCGGCCGGCCGGAGCGCCGCCCCCCTCCAGGTGCCGCCCCAAGCACCTGCTTGGTTGGCTGTTGACTGGAGCCGGCCCTGCAGTTGACTAATGGACCTTGGGGCTCAGATACCACGCTCCCTCCACAACCACAAGCCAGGCAGGGACTGGATGGATCTAACCTCTGCGGAGACCCCAGGATTTGCCTCTTGTGTTTTTAACAGCATTGGTCTCTGTGTCTCTGCCTTTCTTTCATGTAGATCCCTGCAAAAGTGAGTCCCACCTGGTATTCTTCATCCTTCTTCTCTTCTTTCTCAGTGGTGAGTTCATTCTTCTTCCTGATGACAAGCTTTACCAAAGGGAAGGAATTGGGGGCTCAAGGGGTCCTGGATGCAGGGAAGGGTAGGAGGGGATGCAGATGGCAGCTATTTTGTTAACCATCCACATATTTGCATGGCAGGAGCTTCATCCCGGTACTTTCACTTGCATAACTCAGGGTGCCCAGAGCCTATCTAATCTGGTGTTATGAAACTAAAGCAAGTTTTTGTGGTTGCATTGCCAAGGGGGTGGGTTTACATGGGAAGAAAATGTATTTGCTGAATTGACTTTAAATAGATCAGCCCAGATAGCAGGGCATGAAATAGTTTCAAGTCAAAACTCTAGATAAGGCTGGCTAACGCTCTAAGAAGTCTATAATAGCTACTGGAGCAGGTGAATTGTTGGGCTCTTTTCCTCATGCAGTGAAACACTTCCTTCACATCTCTCCTTAAAGGTCACTTCCAGGGCTTAAATTCTCAGAGACTTTCCTGGCCCTCCCCCCCCCCCCCCCCCCCCCCCCATTTGGGGCTCTGGGCTTCAGTTGTGAGGCAGGTGCGAGGTCGCAGGGGCTTCAGCCCCACAGGGAGGGCTGCCAAGGCTCCCACAGGTTTGAAAATATTTACTGGAGCTCTGTTCTAGGCAGCTCCAGCTGAATGTAAGCCCTGGTCACTTCTGTCACGTCTCTTCCATTTGACTTCTAGCTGTTTTTCCCTAACACATTCATGCTTTGGGGCTCTTAGTGAAGTGAGGGAGGAGAGTCCTAAGGAGCCTTTCTAGTCATTGAGAGAGAGAGAGAGAAATCTGCCTTCTTATTAATCTAATTTAGATATTTATTACACACAGGAAAACTACATTAGAAGAACTTTATTAAGATTGTAAAGTCAAGCAATCAAAAGTTAGCAAATGCCAGGAGTGACATATCCAGGGTAAGAGCCAGACTAATGAGTAGTTGTGTCCCCCTGCCCTTTAACTTTGGGTGCCTTTTCACTGCTGTAGCCACCACTCCTGGTCTGCTCTCACACAGCCTCCAGCACATAAGTCACTCCAAGCTATATTGTGAGAGGGCTGCCTGCCAGACAGTGACCCCAACACACTCCCATTCCCAGATTTTCCCCCAGAAATGTATGTCTTGTACTGCCCAGCCCTTTCCTGGGCAATACAAGCTTATATGAAGTTTGTCATTTAACTAATAAAAATAATAAGCACACTTGCTGTCCCAAATGGAGTTTCCCAAACACTTCAATTCAAACACACTGGATTAGATAAAGTGATAAAACAAGAGAGAGATTTTAAGCACACACAGGTATGAGGCATAAAAGGCAGAATTGGTTACAAAAAAAATAAAAGTAAAAGGCAACTAACGCCTGTTTTTGCCAACTAGGGTAACGGTTCTCCATGGCTGGCGTTAGACTTGCTGGGGCCTGGGGCCGAAGCCCAATCCCAACGGTTTCAGCTCAGGGTGGCGGGGCTTGGGCAGGTTCAGACTTTGGTCCCGCCGCCTGGTCGTGTAGTAATTTTTGTTGTCAGAAGGGGGTCGTGGTGCATGGAACTTTGAGAACCCCTGAACTAGGGTAAATTCAGGGCAAAGTCTCACCACGTGATTCAGCAGTTCTATTGGCTGAACTTTCAGCCAGGATCCCTCCCCCAGTCCAGTGTTGTTTTCTTTGTTCTTCAGGCGTCGTGAATGCCATAAGCAGAAAGAAAGGGAGGAATGATTTGTAGCGTCTGTCATTCCTTTTTATAGCTTCCCCTCCCCCCACCAAGAAGCATTTCCTGCTGAGATCTAGGAGACTGAGTCTACCTGGATGGGAATCCCATGCTGTTTCTTTGCTAAAATATAGATTTTTCACCTACGTTCCTTTTCCTGCTAGTGAATAGCCACTTAACGGGTGGTGGCCCATTTCACCTTGTTTACCCCTGGCTGAGGCATCAGCTTGCCTTTTGTCTCTGAGGAACTAGTTTGGCCACTCAGCAGACTTGGAACATGTTTTAGTAACACCACACGGTGAAATCGTATAACTTTACATACAGTATTGCCACACATTTTACCAGAAAAATAATGATCATCAAACTATGAGTTATCAAACGATATCTCACAAGATCTGCTTGTACAAAGATTATTATAATAGTGTGCAAGGGGTGAAAAATAAGATACAGACGTCACACCAGGATTAAGATGGCTCATGCAACCTTAATTCGTCCCCCTTGTGCATATTGATTCTGATGGTCTTTAACTACATGATCATATGTATTTTTTCCACAGGGCCCCTGCCTCATTCAGTGCATAAAAGAATGATGCTCACTTAATGAGCCGCTATTCAATATTTTGTTTTCTTGTCATTAATCATTGTGGCTCCAGGTTTATTTACTGCACACTATTCAAACCCTGCTCTGAAGATAGAATTATTACTCTCCTCAAAATGGGCTTTTCTGTGGTGCTCTCACCAGAGTATCTGAATGTTGTACAAACAATAATGAGTTTATCTTCATAACACCCCGGTGAAGTGAGTTGAAGTGTGGTGGTGGCGGTATTATCATCCCCAGTTTACAGATGGAGAAACTAAGGCAAAGAGAGACTAAGGTCAAAAGTATTCACTAATTTTTGATGCCCAATTTCAGACACCTAAAAGCTGATTTTTCAGAGTAGTTAGCATTATATAGAGCATTATATGTTCAAAGCATAGCTCCCCTTGACTTCATTTGCAGCTCAGTGCTTGGCACTTATGCAGATCAGATGCTAAGGTCTTAGGTCAGGCACCCAGAATATGAAGAACGTACAACTAGTGACTACATGTGAAAAGTTTGGTTTAAGTGACTCACGTAAGAACTCTGTGGCAGAGACAGGGATGGGCAGCATTCAGCCATCTTAACCGTGAGACAGTCCTACTCTTCCTGCAGTCCCCTGCCTCATTCAGTACAAATCTTCCAACTTCTGCAACAAATAAGGCAGGGGCCCTACAGACAAGAGTCTCCTTTAATACCCAACCCTGATTCATCACCAGAATAGGTCCATCCTGTCCACTGAACAAAGTAAGGGTCCTGTGGGGGGGGGGAATTGTGATGATGTTGTAGTAAGAGGAGGCCCTGAGATATAAACCTTGGTATCAGAGGCCTGGTATGAGGCCTAAGGCCTGAACTAAAGTAATGGTCAAGACTTTGCTAACATAAAGCAAAGTTAAGCTGTGAGCCAGAGGCAGGCCCTGTTCACAGAAGTTGGCAAGAAAAGGGCTGATGTTGCATAAACATATATTCACCTAGTGTATTATAATATAAACACAGCACCAGAACATTCGCATACTTGTACATTCCACACACAACAAGGAACAGGCTGACCCATCCCAATGACAGGGCCAAAAGGGGAATATGATAGATAGTGTTATTTTGTTCGAACCAACATGTACAAGGTGAGAGGCGGCACCTTACTACGTAGAGGGGTTGTACCTTGCTGCGTAGAGGGGTTGCACCTCAATACGTCAGGAGTGATGTGTAACTTGTTTGTATCTGTGTATAAGAATGCATCCCTGAGTGGATATCTTTGTCCGGCCGAGGGGGCAGTGGAAAGTCTCGCCACTGACTGAGCCAGGTCCATTGCCAAGAGGCACTTTCTCGTAGTATGCCCGGTAGACTAAGTAATCTACAGGGAACTGCAACTGTGTCCGAGGTCGCAATAAACCTGGTCGATGTGACTTTGCATCTTACTAGACTCTATGGTCATTGGGGGTTCTCTTCGGGTGTGCTGGGTCAGCTATCTGCGCAGAGCTGGGGCAGCACACAGAGGGAACACGCATGCAGCCGAGTGATATCAACATAGGAGAAAGCAGAGCACCACACTGGTAGCATCTGACAACAGACGTAACTGAAGACTGTACCATAATGCAGACACACAAGGGGCTGAATTAAAGTTGCACAGGCAGCCTTAATTCTGGCATTTCCCAACTTTTGATTGCTTGACTTTGTAACTTAAATAATCTTCTTTTAATGTAGTTTTTTGTGTGTAATTTCCTAACTCTTAAAAAAGCAAATTGGGGGGGGAAAAACACAGAAATTCCATTATGTGGCATCGTATTGACACCCAATGGGCCATTAGCTGGGTTGGAACCTTGAGATCCACCACACAGACCTCAGTCACTTCACTTAATGGAATAACTGATGACAGTAGTAAGTTGTCATCCTCTAGTGGCCCAGCAGTAGAGGGGAGAGACACACTTTGCCAATGAGTTTCACAGATATTTGCTGACCACTGAGGAACGGTGAGATTCAAAAGGCTTGGGTTCCATTGCAGGTGCTTTTGTTCATCTTTTTACAGTGCAATATTAGTAATCAAAAATAATAATATAAAGTGAGTACTGTGCACTTTGTATTCTATGTTGTAATTGAAATCCGTATATTTGAAAATGTAGAATAACATCCAAAAATATTTATAATGAATTTAAATTTGTATTCTATTATTGTTTAACAGTGCAATTAAAACTGTGATTAATCATGACTATTTTTTAATCTAGTTAGTTTGTTTTGCATTAATTGCATGTATTAACTGTGATTAATTGACAGCCCTAGTTATTACAGAGAAAATCCAGATTTACCCCTGCGCTGGAGGGAACATGCTTTGTGGGGATGTCACATGTGCAGCCTGGTCACTCATAAGAGCAGTGAGGGGATGGAGTACGTTCAATGAGGAGGGAATCTTTGGAGATTATAGCTGTTATAATTGAAGTCCCTACTGAGCATATGCAAATTGGGATTCCCCCCCCCCCCCCAGTTTGGGTGGATTTGTATGGTGACAGCAAAAGGCATGTATAAAATCATGACTGGTGTGGAGAAAGTAAATATGGAAGTGTTATTTACTCCTCATAACACAAGAACTAGGAATCACCAAATGAAATTAATAGGCAGTAGGTTTATAACAAACAAAAGGAAGTATTTTTTCACACAAAGCACAGTCAACCCGTGGAACTCCTTGCCAGAGGATGTTGTGAAGGCCAAGTCTATAACAGGGTTCAAAAAAGAGCTAGATAAGTTCATGGAGGATAGGTCCATCAATGGCTATTGTCCAGGATGGACAGGGATGGTGTCCTTAGCCTCTGTTTTGCCAGAAGCTGGGAATGGGCGACATCACTTGGTGATTACCTGTCCTGTTCATTCCCTCTGGGGCACCTGACATTGGCCACTGTTGGAAGGCAGGATACTGGGCTAGATGGACCTTTGGTCTGACCCAGTATGGCCGTTCTTATGTCCCTAACACAAAGGCCATCTCCCTGCCAAATTTCAAGTCTTTGCTCCAAAGCTTTCGGGTGCTAGAGCTTTTTAAAGGAAAAGTTGCCAGAATTTGTTAATTTGCAAAACAACATATTTTCTCTTAGCCTTGCTCTCAGAAATGACTAAACCATTCTGGCTGAAATTTTCCCAAAAAAATTCACCCTTGAGAGAGACACCTAGTATAGAAGCTTGAACTGTTGAAGTCTGCCAAAGTTATAAGCAACTGAACACAGGGTCTTTTAAATGGGAAGTGTCGGGCAACATTAAAAATAGGTGGTGCTAGCAGCCTCTTCTGTATGGTATCTAGGCACAAAAGGGAGGCAGAAACACCACCCATTAACCTGTGCTTTGTCTTCTGCAGCCAGCAACCAAATTGTTCATTGATGGGAAGTTTGTTGAATCCAAAACTACCGAATGGATCGATATTCACAACCCAGTAAGTGAAATGACCTGTGCTGCTGTGTGGGCCCTTGCTCTGGTCAGGAAGGGGTTCCACCTCACTGAAGTCACTTGGGGAGATGCAGGGAATGTGACTGTCTTGCAATTGCCTTCTTAGGGGTCAACTGTCTTCTCAAGGTTAATGCCAGACCCAGTAGAAATGATGAACGCTGCCTTCTCTCCCCTATATGGTAGATCTCCAAGAGGAGAATTAGGCCTCTTTTTCTACTCTTTTCACACTGGAGGGGCTCTGTGACTAGTACATCAAGTTAGTAAATGGTTTCTGTCATAGAAGCTTAGGACTGGACTTACGTGATTTGATGTAAGCCTGAAGGTAAACTCCTGGCAGAGACTGGTCACGGTGTAGACCCCACCTCCCCTCCAAGGGGGAGGAGAGAATCCTGGCTGGAATCTGAGGTTCTTTTCCCCTCCTTTGATGGAGCTGCCATCTTTAAGCTGTGAAATTCCAGTGAATTTGGCATCAAGTACCATGCTGGATGCAATTGCTTTATGAGTCTGGTCTCAGAACTCAGATTTTGTTAAATTCATTTCTCTGTCTGCCTCCGGGGGCAGATTCAATTGAGACTGCATGGAGGGAGATCCTGCCTGACTCTTGCAGCAGGTGTCTAGACAGTGGGTTCTTGGACTTTTCTGTGTGGAGCCCCATTTTGACATTCTAATTATTATTTTTACATTTTGTTCTTGATAGTGATCAGAACAATGAGACTCATTCAGCAAAGTTGGCTCAGCCAACTAAACTCATTATATCTAGTGAGGAGATTCACCCTTTGCAAGGCTACTTGCTTTCTTGTTTTATTTCTTCTGCTCTTGCTCTGAACGGTTAGTTATCTTTATTTTGCAGATGTTTCTCTGAATGATGTAACTGATGATCTCTGTTATGTCAAAGCAATTTTAAAAAAGCCTACATTAAAAGAATGTTATGGTTGTTAAAACAAGCTCTCAAAAGATAGGAAATGCTGGATTTATGGTTGTCCATACTAATTATGATATAGTACTTAACTTCGTAATCACTTACTGATTTTTTCCAAAGGACCCGTGCCTCATTTAGAGCACAAGAGGAATAGCAGATGAGGCATGGAAAAGACTGTTATACAGAGAGAGACTGCTGTCCATAGGATCCCATCTTATGCACAGCAGATGTGTAGTGAAGAGGCTGAGAGATCCAGGAAGCAAAAAAAATCTTGTAGTTAAAGCACTGATGATACTGAACCCAGGAAAAATGGGTTCCATCCCTGACTCTGTTGCAGTCACTGTTAGGCAAGTCCCTTAAACCAAAATGTTCAGAGGTGGCCGCTAACTGTTTGTTTTCTCTATGCCCGTCTTGAGACACCTACAGCTTGATTTTCAGAGGTGCTGAGCATTCAACTCTAGTTGAAGCTATGCCCTCAAGGTATGTGAGGGGAGGAGTTTCTCCCTGACATCAGGGGAATCATGTAAGTATGGTTCCATTTTGGAAGGATATCAGATCAGGGATGTGAAAGGGGCATTGAATGGCTGAGGGAGATGGCATGAAGAGGATGAGTTTTGATGTAATTGGTTGTTCCATCAGGCCACAAATGAGGTGGTTGGTCGTGTCCCGAAGGCCACTCAGAGTGAGATGGAGGCAGCTGTGACTTCATGCAAAAAGGCTTTACGGAACTGGTCAGAGACATCGGTTCTGAGTCGCCAGCAAATCTTCCTGCGTTACCAGCAGCTCATCAAGGACAACCTGGTGAGACACTTATCACTGTGCTCAATGGCTGTCGCTGAGTACATGCCAGTAGCCCAGGGTGGGCAGGCTCGAGTACTGTTTCCTGGGCTCATGGCAGGGCAGTGCTGCCTGGGTTTATGAGCAGAATGGGGATGGCATTCCTCATGCCAAGGAAGGGATGGTGTGGTGCTCTTCAGGCCCCTGGGGACAAAGAGGTAAGGGCAGATTGTTGTTTGCATTTTATCTTTACACCAAGTGCTGTTTCAAGTTGTCTTGAGGTTTAATGGAGTCAGTGAAGGCAAAAGGGAGAAATATCTGCAAGAGTTGTTCTCACTAGGGCTTTGCAGTTACCCGTTCTGCATCCCCAGATTGCTTGGCTGTGATGCCATAGGATTCAGATCGGCCCTACAATTCCAGTTGTCCTAATTAAAACATTCCCTTTCTGTAGGTTGGCTTTTCACACGTACAGTGACTCATACTAAGAAGTAGCAAATTGGGTAGTGTTTCCTTTCCAAGCCCCTCCTTGCTGGTCCATTTGTTGTGGTATTTGGCTATCTGTGGAACAGTCTACCCTGCTTCTACCTCCCACTTCTGCTGGTTGGCCCTTTTTTTTTCATTCTCTCTCTCTCTCTATTTCCAGAAAGAAGTTGCCAAACTCATCACTTTGGAGCAAGGAAAGACCCTGGCTGATGCTGAGGGAGACATATTCCGAGGCCTCCGTAAGCTACTGGCTCCTCCCACTATAAGGGGCTTTCAGAAGCTATGGGCAGGGGAAAAGTCCAATGAGCAACAGGGGCTCTAGAACACAAGAAAATAGCCCCCTTCAGAGCCTTCACATGAGGGTAGAGGGATGGCCTTGTCTATACCTTAGAAGCTGCAGATGGAAAAGGTCCATTTTCCTTGCGCCATTTAAAAGTTGCAGCCTACTTCCTCTCCCTGCATGTTATACTGACTCCAAATGGCTTTTAATAGGCTGTGGGTCTCTTCCGTGTACAGAAATGGCTGGGATTGGTACCCCTGTGCTTCTTGCACTGGGAAAGTTTTGTTAACTTAACTCAGGGCTCCTGTCATGCGAACATTGAATGCACTGAGGAAAGAATCCATTTACAGCCAGCCAAGCTATTGTGCTTGGCCATGCAGGGAGTGTTCATGGTGCATGGGAGCTGTAGGTTATGGGGAAAGAGAGAATTGCATTGTGGCATTGTAGAGAAGACAGTTTTGAGACTGAGTGGTAGGAGCTCACTCTTTGGCATATCACCCTTTCTGCTGCAGAGGTGGTTGAGCACGCCTGTAGCGTGACATCCCTCATGCTGGGAGAGACCCTGCCCTCCATCACTAAGGATATGGACACTTACACCTTTCGCCTGCCTCTGGGAGTGTGTGCAGGGATTGCACCATTCAATTTCCCAGCCATGATTCCTCTCTGGATGTTCCCCATGGCCATGGTTTGTGGAAACACCTTCTTGATGAAGCCATCGGAGCGTGTGCCAGGAGCACTCATGTTCCTTGCTAAGCTGTTACAGGATGCTGGTGCCCCTGATGGGACTCTGAACATCATCCATGGGCAACATGAAGGTAAACTCAGGCTAGTCTGCTGAGTTGGCTACAGAGTGTGAGGGTGTGTTGGGGCATATGTGCTTTGAGGGGAGGCATAGAGATGTTGGGGTTTCCACTGTTATGGACCTGCATGTTGTTTGGGAAAGTGGGACAAGGGGGATCCAGGGAACTGCATGGCTGATGCAGGACGATAGAGAAACCTTTGAAGAGAGAGGGTGGACAACATTTAAATCTGGATGTACTTTTAGATTCCTAGGATGGTCTTTTCAAAGTGTCCAAGTGACTTAGGAACACAAGTACCGTTGACTTAGGGTACTTGTACTCCAAAGTCACTTAGGCACATCTGAAAATACCACCCTCGGAGCCTAAATTCAGATTTAGAAGCCTAACTTTAAGCACCCAGTTTGACAGATTTTGGGTGGTTAAAAAGTAAGAAGGGTTCTGGCAGTTCTGGAGCTGGAAGAACATCAAGATATAAAGGATAAGGAGTTCTGTGAACTTCAGTGTGTAGTAAGGACTGGAGTGGGAGAAGGTGGCTGGGATTCAAGTGCCAGAAGGGCAAAGGCCAGGGTGGGTGGAGGAGCTGGGATGTGGGTGCTATGGGGACAGAGTGATGAGGATTGGAGAGCCAGGCAGGTGAACAGAGGGGCAGGGGTTCAAGTGCTGGAGAGTGAGCAGAGGGAGGGGATGGGCAGCAGTGGAATCCCTGTAATGGTGGGGGCAGGAATCTGGGTGCTTGGGCTGTGGGTAGTAGAGGGATGAGCATTGTGGGGATGGGGGTGGAAGGCCGGAAGGGACCATTTGATCAAAATGGTTCCTTCCGGCCTTGAACACTCTGGAGAGGAATGTTAGAGTCCCAGCATATAATGAGCTATTTCCTTTTTGAAGCTGTGAATTTTATTTGTGACCATCCGGATATCAAGGCAATCAGCTTCGTGGGATCCAATCAGGCAGGAGAGTACATCTATGAAAGAGGATCCCGGAACGGCAAGAGAGTCCAGTCCAACATGGTAATGCCCCTCAATGTAGCAGAGGTTTCAGCCTACAGACTGCTACTCCCTTGTATACATGCTTACGACCTTTTCCATTCAGCGTCTGGGACTGACTTGAATTTAGGCAGTTGGATGTGCTGAGAGAGATTAAGCTTCCCTTTCTACCAGGATGTTAGCAGCTCAGTAACAGTTATGATATGAAGTTGTCACTGCAGAACTGGAAAGGTGGGCCAGATGTATTTAGCAGTTTGAGATTGTATATATGTCTTGTATTTTAGGGAGCCAAGAACCATGGTGTGGTGATGCCCGATGCCAATAAGGAGAACACCTTGAATCAGCTTGTTGGAGCTGCTTTTGGAGCAGCTGGCCAACGCTGCATGGCCCTGTCTACAGCCGTATTAGTGGGAGAGGCAAAGAAGTGGCTGCCAGAGCTGGTGGAGAGAGCCAAGAACCTGCGAGTTAATGCAGGTACAGATCTGTTTGGTAGCTTCAGGTTAAGTACCTGGCTTGTGTGTTTTTGTGTATCTCGTACATTGCAGTGTGTGACTGTGAGGTCTTGGCTCCATGGGTTTGGTGCATGGAGGTGGGGGCTGGAAGACTGCCTGCTTGGAGGCTCCGTGGGTGTGTGACAAGAGGTCTGGATTCAGCACCACATGGTTGGGGTGCTGGGGGGGATCTGTTGTGAGGGTGGGCTTGACTGTGTTACTAGAACTCTAATTTTACTTTCACAACATTAGGCAGTTTATAACTGTGGGTTTGGGGTTTTGTGTAAAAGGACTCAGCCCTGCCTTTAACGTAGCAACCCCACTTATAACATTAACAGACTTTTATTCTAGGAACGTTTCCCTTTCTTTCAATTTGCGTTCAGTAAAGCCCTTCAGACGGAAGCATATCTCTTTCTAGGGGGGGATAAGTCAATCCTCTGTTGGATTTTGTAGTTGATGTAAACAAAAAAGAAACAAACAAGGGTAGCTGATGTAAAGATCTTTGCCATTCACATACATCTTTATTGAAAAATAATTGAAAAACTTGATACATAGATTGCTTTGCATTTCTTGGATGTTCATTTTCCAGCTCCATTTATAGGCCTTGTACAGTGTATTTCTAACTATGTGTGAATTAGGTTTTTCCATTTTATTTTATTTTTAACTTTATCACACTATAGAGCTCTCTATTGAGTTATATTGTTATGCTTGTACAAAAACTTAAGTAGTCCCCCTCTTTTCTGCCAGCATAGATGCCTTCCCTCCACCCCATCTCCTATTTTTGAAGAGATACTTTTGAGAGGACCATCCTATTAATGAGACATCATTAACAGAAGCATTACAGTTATATTGAAATGAGTTTCTTGCTATTTAGGACTAGCTTAACTAAAACAAAGACTTAATCATTTTGCATCTTCTTCATTCTAATTCTCCTTAAATATGTTTGTGGACCTCCAGCATACACAGTGTCTCCATTTGAGCAGCCAGTTGGAGGCATATGTGCATTAAAGATTGCTTTAAAAAAAAATACATTAAATTATCACACACACACACACACACACAGTACAAGGGAGTTAAAAAGTCAAAAGACAGACTAAAAACAAAAAGGCTTCGTGATATTTTTTTAAAGCTCATGGTTTCTGAGGCCAATTTCATGATTTTTTCAGGATCCAACTCATGACTTTTAATCTCTTGAGATTGGCAATACTGCAGACTAAACAAACTCAGTTCCCCTTTGACTCCATCTTATGCTTGTTTTTAGCAGCTATCATGTGTAGCATATACAGGACAAGATGACCTTTTGTTACCTTTCTCCCTCTATGGTTCAGAAAGGCTTTTGCAAAATTTTCAGAACTCACCACAGCAACTATCAGCTCTTTGTGTTTTGGGTGTGGGGACTTCTGTCTCTCTGTTTTGGAAACATGGGGCTTTTCTGTTGGTTTGGGGTTCCCCTATGGGTTTGGAGTTCAGGGTCTCTTGGTTCTGTGTGTTTGAGTTTTGTGTTCCTCTCCTACTTAATTTTAGGATTCTTGTATCTTTGCTGGGAAGGTAGTTGTTGGTTGTTCTCTTTAAATATGAAACCATCACAATTCAAACCTTCCCCTGCTTCTGTACTTCAAAGGAGACCAACCAGGAGCAGATCTGGGGCCCTTAATCACCCCCCAAGCTAAGGAGCGGGTCTGCCACCTGATTGAGAGTGGAGTGAAGGAAGGAGCTGCCCTCCTCCTGGATGGACGAGACATCAAAGTGAAGGGTTATGAGAAGGGCAACTTTGTTGGACCAACCATCCTTGCTAAAGTCCAGGTGAGCTAGTCAACGGACTGGTCACTGGATGCAAAGGAATGAAGTATTTCATAGGTTCAGTGGAAAGGGTGGCACTTCTAGTCTGCCCAACACAGCTGGCAATGGCCCAGTGGGCTTATCAGCCTTGATAGGCTAGCTGGCAAATTGCTAGTTCAGTGTGTGCATTTAAGCACTTAGGGATGTTGCATGTATTAATTGGGCAGGGTACGATGGTTAAGGTTCCAACCTCGGTATATCCTGAAACCTGGATTGGAGAGTTATAAGTGACGTGGTCTGTAATTGGCCTGAGAGATGGGTGCAGATGAAGCTAGGAAATTGGGGGGTAGGAAGGTAGAAGAGTGTGGATGGGGTGATGCAGGCAATTAATTGCCAAACCCGCAGCTCCTGCGTAAGAAATTGGTGGTTTGGAATGACAGTGGGAGAGTTGTAGGCAATGTGAGAGTGCAAGGGAGAAGGATGGTGGGTAGGGTGCAATGGGGTTGACTGGCAGGCAAGATATGTGCCAAGTTGTAGTGATGTGGTCACCCAGGCTGGGAGGATGGAAAGCTAGGAGTTATGGAAACAGAAGCAAACCAATCAGGGTGGATAAAAATAAATGATTTTAAAAAAAAAATCCAATTTTTTTTTTTTAATCAGATTTTTTTGATAAAATGCTTTTTGAGGAAAAAAACCTATCTAAAGATAGTTTTAATTAAGATGCATTATAGCTCAAAAATATCTCATCATGGAATAGGGATTATAAATTCTAATTCTATAGTATGAGACAATATATTCATGTAATGTTTAAGAAAAGTTTTGTAAATGAGTTCCAATAGTTCATGGATTAAGGATCTAATTTTATGGCGTTCCACAGGCTTCTGTATAGATTATTTAGGTTAATCTTTCTATCTACCCAATGGGACTCAATGCTCAGTCTAGAAGATACCATTAGAGATGCTTAGTTTTGCAGTTTTAAAACTGGATTTGTGTCTCCAGAGGTAACATGCTTGTTAACAGCAAAAATGTTTTTAAATAAATAAATATATAGAGGTGAGAAATAAGAGACCTCAACTCTATTGTCCTTTTGCAAATTTGTGTACACAGTCTTAATCCCTTACCTCTCTCTAAAAGTGCAAAGTTTCAAAAAGTTAAATGAATAGAAGGTTGTTGGGGGCGGAATAAATCAGGACAAGAAGAAGTCTGTGAGAAGTGAGGGACATATGCTTGTTTTGTTCAAATATTATATGTTTGCTGTTGAAGAAAAGAATCCAGAATACTTAACGTTGTTGTTTTAGTTAAATAAACCAATTTAAATGTCTGTTTGGTGATGTTCTCCTCCTAATACAGCATGGCAAGAAAATCCTCCAAATATTAATGATTAACCTGTTGAATTGGAGCTAGTTCACCTCCCAATGACTTCATAAATATCTGCTTTAATTACCTTTGCTAAATGAAATAACCAATCATTCATTTTCTGATATAGCTGTAAAACTAGTCTGAAAAGTTTTCAAAACAAATCACTGTTTAAAAATGTATAGTGTGTACCTTCTAAAAATGAAACCTACATCTATCTCTGAGTTGTGAAGAATATGTATTAAAGTTATAACAACCAACAAGAATGCACTTTTATGTAGAAAACCATGATTAAATCGAGTCTTCCTGACTAGTGACTTAAATCAAACCCACCCTGAAATCAATCCTGACTGCATCTAGGCCCCTTGATCAGCACTCAGGTCAAAGAGTAAATTTGTCACTTGACTGAGAGCAGGCAGTGGATGTGGTAGTTGGGCGTGACAGATGGCAGGGCATGGCATTGGGGTTGGTAGCTACCAGGGCATGAGGGACAGTGGGGCATGTAAATTCAACAAGGACAAATGCAAAATACTCCACTTAGGAAGGAACAATCAGTTGCACAGATGCAAAATGGGAAATGACTGCCCTAGGAAGGAGTACTGCAGAAAAGGATTGGGGTGGGTCATAGTGGATCACAAATTAAATATGAGGGAACAGTTTCAAAAAATATGTGACCATAATTCTGGGATGTATTAACAGGAATGTTGTAAGACATGAAAAGAAATTCTTCCATGCTACTCCGCACTGATTAGGCCTCAACTGGAGTATTGTGTCCAGTTCTAGGTGCCACATTTCAGGAAAGATGTGGACAAATTGGAGACAGTCCAGAGAAAAGCAACAAAAATTATTAAAGGTCTAGAAAACATGACCTATGAGGGAAAATTGAAAAAATTGGGTTTGTTTAGTTTGGAGACGTGAAGACAGAGGGGGGACATAAGTTTTCAAGTACATAAAAGGTTGTTTCAAGGAAGAGGGATGGCCTGGATAATACTTAGTCCTGCCATGAGTGCAGGGGACTGAACTAGATGACCTCTTAAGGTCCTTTCCAGTCCTACGATTCTGTGATTCTATGCAGGATGATGTTCAGTGAGGTGAAGGATGGTGAGTGATGATGGGAATGCTCCGAGGGTTTGATTTGTGTGTGGGGTGGTCTCTGCTTTGGGGGTGTCTATGGCATTTCCCTGACATGAGTTTTGTTTTCTGCTGTTTCTCCCTTGGCAGCCAAGCATGACCTGCTATAAGGAGGAAATCTTTGGGCCAGTTCTAGTAGTTCTGGAAGCAGACACTCTCGATGAAGCAATTGAGATAGTGAACAGAAATCCCTATGGAAATGGAACTGCAATCTTCACCACCAATGGCGCCACCGCTAGGAAATACTCCCACTTGGTGGACGTGGGGCAGGTATGTATCCATAGGGTAATGTATAGAGTAGAATTATTCCCATCAGTGCTTGCCATGTACATGAGACACCCATCTAGCCCTGGCTTTTGATTTCTGTCTTAAGGTGTCATAATGTTTGATTAGGTAACATACTATTATCTCATATTTAAGGAAACTGGATCTAGTATCTTTCAGGGGAAGAGAAATATGAGGCTGTTCTGTTGTTGCTACAATCTGGTACTTGTTTCTTCTATTAATGTAGTGGCTTTACTCTGATTTAGGTGGGTGTAAATGTTCCAATACCAGTGCCTCTGCCCATGTTCTCCTTCACTGGCTCTCGTGCTTCTTTCAGAGGAGACACCAATTTCTATGGCAAACAGGTAACTCATCAAATTAGGAAACATATTGTGTTTTTGCTACTCTGTCAACCTAGTGCAGGAAGCCAGGTGGAGGTGAAGGAAGAGACCACCAGATTGCATTAACAAGGTGGAGACTTGTGAATGGAGGGAGAATTGAACAATGTGCTTTATTGCTGGGGCAGAGACCTCAGGATATCGGGAAGGGCAGAGAAACTGGCAGCTCCCATGGTGGAGATCTTTGTACTCTGAAGGTATAGTGGGAAGCTTGCAGGAGTCCCAAGGCCAAATGTACAACCCTTGTTTCTCTCATTTCCTTCAGGGGGTGCAGTTCTATACACAGCTGAAGACCATCATCTCTCAATGGAAAGAGGAAGATGCCACAGTTACCAAGCCTGCTGTAGTTATGCCAACCATGGGAAACTAACCAGCTTTTACAGGGGTACCATCCATGGTGCCCTTCACCTTCTGTGCTGCAGACTTCTTCCAGCTGTGTCCTGACTGCTTCTATTCCCTATTTCCCTGGGAATAGAAAGCCCTGTTCTCCCTAAGATCTCTATTTCCAAACAAATCAGGGAGGCTACTCATGTAACGTCCAAACTAAGTTTTCTGTTGCTCTCAACAATTTTCAGTTAATTGAGTTCAGTTTCTCCCCAGAAGAAACACTCTCCTTTAGTGACAGGTCAGATGACAAACCTGAACACAAATTCTCTTCCCCCGCGCGCCCCCCCCCCCACCCCTCAAACTGAACTTTCCACTATATCTGTCTTTAGTCCCACTGACTCGGTGCTGCAGCTTTCTCCACATCCCTCTTTGATCCAATATTCTGATTCCACCTCACTCTGAGAAACTCTCCCTGTTGCAAAGAAGTGGCTTTTCCATTATGGGCAGGTAGCAAGTTTGAGAGAGTCTCTGAAGTTCTGGAGAGTTTAACCCCGTACCCACTGAACAGTTTTGAAGGGCCTGACGCTTGGGAACTGGCTGCTTTAAGAGTTTTACAGGGAGGTTTACAGGGGTGCTTGACTGAGTATCAAGGAGATTCCTGAGAGTGTAGAGTGAGTCCTACCCTACCTCGCTCTGGTTGGAAACTTTGATCCCCATCATGTATGTATCCTGCCAACTCCTGTTAGTTCTCAGCTCTGACTGTTAGCTGAAACCACTTGCAGGGTGATGCTTACTATGATAGCAGCAGTGTGCCTACGCGCTCTGTGACCATGGAAGCAGAAGCACAACCATGTGTATGTCCACTCCTGGCTGGTGTTATTCAAGCCCTGTGAGACGGGGTGGAATTGGCAGGAAGGAGGCATTTCCTTCCTCCGAAGGCAACCAATCTCAATCTTTTGGTTTCTCTTCCCGATTGTCATATGTCTGTGCTGCTACTGCCCACTACTTGATTCACTGTCACACCTGTTCAAGTGTGTGTGCATCTTTTAGTGACTGCAGGCCCTAATACTAGTAACAGGTAAGGAGGTTCTGTTAGCCTATGTGATAAAGGTCTTTGCAGCTGGAGATCTGGGGTTCTATCCCCTGGGTGGGTGGGGAGGATTGGGTTTGAGCTGGTGACTCATGATGCAGCCATGGAATAGTTAAGGAAAGGTCCTGGGATGGGGTAAGATTAAGGGGACATTATGTTGGCTTCACTTGGACTCTGCTATAAGTGGCAGGGACTTGTAGAAAGTTGCTTCTTGCACCCAAGGAAAATCATGCTATTTAACGGATTCTAATCATGATTCGTTGGTCTAATTGAACAAGCTGAATGTGAACACTTTGTATCCTGCCTTCTGGTAAAGATGCCTTTTGTAATTGACAGCTGCCTGACTTTAATACAACTGCTGAGGTGCCACTAATATTTGTGTATTTTCTCTCAGGTTCCATTATATCCTAGAGGGGAAATGCTCATATTTCTGCAATTTGATTATGAATAAAAATTGCTAATACATTTCTTCAATTAATGACCTTTTGGGGTTTTTTTGTTTGTTTTTGAATAAGACCTTGTCTGGATATAGTGTTAATTTGCCTCTTAGGCCTGGTCTACACTAGGTGTTTATGTCGAATTTAGCGCCGTTACATCGAATTAACCCTGCACCCGT